TTTGCTCAACAGATGACAGCATTCCAAAACCAGCTTTCAGGAGCAACAAGGTCATCACCATCATCCGCCGAGCCGTCACTATCTTCCTTGAATGCAGAATTTATTTCATTCCGCTCTTCAGTTATTACCTGTCTTGAAAACTTACAAGCCCAGTTGGAAATGCTTTTCAAAATGCAGGATGAACAAGAGATGAGAGATAGAAGAAAGATCCTGTTGTTACATGGTTACAGTGAGTCTGCCGACCTTACTATCGATTCTGTAATTTATAAGCTTTCTGCATGTCTTAAGTGTCCTGAATTGAAACCTGACAGTGTAAGTCGCTGTCAACGAATCGGTGCCAGAAAAGATGCTAAGCCTCGTCCGTTTCTTATAAAGTTTAAAAATTTTGATTCCAGACACAAAATCTGGGCCGCTAAAACCAACCTCAAGGGTTCAGGGCTGACCTTGTCAGAGTTTCTCACGAAGAAGCGACATTATTTATTCATGACAGCCAGGAAAGCTTTTGGTATGCACAAATGTTGGACTAGAGATGGACGTATATTCGCCATGACTCCTAGTGGTTCGCGTCGTCGAATTGAGAGCATGAAGGACATCGAGACTAGTGCACACACAGCTCCTGTTGAGGATCTGTCTCCTTGCTTAGATCCGTCACCAGATTTTCAGAGAAAAGAGTGGATAAACCCCCGCTCCAAGAAGTTGGGTGACGGATAATGGTTTTTTCTTGCTGTTTTGAAATGTACCGGTAATAATTGTATCTCCAGTGCTTGTTGTGGGCATTTATTATACTTTAGTTTTTATTCTTAGATGTATAATTGTTTAATGCACCTTGTTTTCACTTCTTATAACTATATAACAACAATATAACTATAGTATCATATGTAGTAACTTTGTTTACATTCTTTAATATAGTAAATGTCACACTCCGGAATGTCATTATGTTTAATGTCATTGTCAAATTACAGTTACCACAGATTTAAAGCATTTAATTTTTCTTTTTCTAGATTATATAGCATCTCATTCTATTTTGGCGAATGGCCTGTACTGGAGTTAACAATACGTTAAACTATTTTTATGTGTAAGTTAAATTACTGGTGTACAGAATAAGTAATTTATTTAAATCGTTAGGTTAAGTTAATATTTTATATTTAGTTGATAAATTAGGTACTAGCATAACATAATGTTAAATATTCCACAAAGTAATGAAGATAATTTCAATAGTTCTGCACAGTCCTTAAATAATAGTGAAGAATCTGGTCGCGGTGGTGTTAGCGTTCCACGACTGGAGTCATTATTGGCTTCCTCCTTTACAAATTGTCACAAAAACTTTAATGCTGTGCATATTAATGCGCAGAGTATCCCAGCTCACTACACCGAGTTAATTGCATCCTTCTGTTCCAGTCCTGTTCACGCTATTTTAGTCTCAGAATCTTGGCTAAAACCGTGCCTGTCCTCTTCTATGTACTCGTTACCAGGCTTTAATCTTATACGGAATGATCGTGTTGGCCGTGTCGGCGGTGGTGTGGCTATTTATTTACGTTCTGATATCGTATATAACTTGCTTAGTACCTCTCCTCAGCCGCCTCCAGCCGATGCTGCAGAACACCTCCTAATCGAAATTGCTCTTTCCTCGACAAAAATTATGCTAGGAGTTTTCTACTCTCCTTCCTCGCATGTTAACTATTTTTCTTCCTTTGAAAAGACTCTCGAAAATTTCTCTCCGCTTTATACTCACTCTATTATCATGGGAGACTTTAATACTTGTCTTTTGAAGAATGACTTCCGCAGTAAAAAAATTAACTCTATAATAGCATCTTCTAACCTTAATTTACTACCTCTTCAAGCAACTCACTTTTTTCCAGGCGCTTCTCCTTCTCTTCTTGACCTTATAATAGTATCTTCTATCAACCATGTCGCAAAACATGGCCAGCTATCAGCCGACTCCTTTTCGTTCCACGACCTGTTGTTTCTCTCATATACCATTCGCCCTCCGAAGAAGAGGCATAAGATTATATTGCAGCGAAACTTTAACGCCATGAATGTTAATGACCTGAACAATGACGCTCGTATGATTGATTGGGGTGATGTTTTAACAGCTGATACCATTGACAAAAAGATAAATAGTTTTAATGACTATGTAAACAAGCTGTATAACAAACATGCTCCTATTCGGCCTGTTAAAATTAAAATTAAACACTTTCCCTCTCCCTGGTTAACAAAGGAGTTAAGAAGCCTCATCCATAAAAAAAATTGTGCTAAGGCTAAGTTTAAGCTTAACAACAATGACGCCAATCTGGCGAGATATAGATCCCTCCGAAATGAATGCAACAGAAGGTGTAGGGACTCTCAGAGGAGATATTTTTATAAATCCGTTGAGAGCGGAAACACGCCTAAAACCTGGAAGTTTCTCAATTCCTTGGGTATCGGCAATCGGTCTCGCTCAGTTTCAGTATCTCCCAATTTTAATCTTGACTTACTTAATCAGCACTTTACTTCTTCTCCTAAAACTTTCGATCCCTCTAAAAAAGCTGAAACTCTAAATTTTCTCTATTCGCTCCCTAAACCTGGCTATCCTCAGTTTTGCTTCTCTAATTTCACGGATGAAGACGTTAAGAGAATTGTCATGTCGGTTACTTCTAATGCCTTGGGCTGTGATAGCATTGGTCGTGCTATGATTCTTCCTATTCTTGACGTAATATACCCTATCTTAACACATATCCTGAACCATTCCATACGTACAGGAGAGTTTCCTCTCATCTGGAAAAAAGCATACATTATTCCTCTACCAAAAGTTAATATTCCTACTAACTCAAACGATTTTCGCCCTATTTCAATTCTACCCTTCCTTTCTAAAATCTTGGAAAAATTAATACATCAACAGCTTTGTCTCTTCCTCAACAAGAACTCTCTTTTCAATTCTCATCAATCAGGCTTTCGAGCTGGTCATAGCACGATTACTGCATTGCTAAGGGTAACTGATGATATCCGAATGGCTATAGATGATAGACAAGTTACAATTTTGACTCTGGTTGATTTTTCTAACGCTTTTAATACGGTTGATTTTGATGTTTTACTAGCGCAATTACGCTCTCTTAACGTCTCGACTACAGTTCTTAATTGGTTTAATAACTATCTAAGGGGCCGCCAGCAGTGCATTCGGGTGGGTGATACTACCTCTTCGTGGAGCACTGTTACTTCCGGTGTACCTCAGGGTGGTATATTATCTCCTCTCCTCTTTTCCATCTTTATAAATTCAATCTCCTCTCTATTCTCGTGTCGTCATCACTTATATGCCGACGATCTCCAAATCTACACTCACTGTTCTTTAGAAAACATCTTAGATGGGATCAAATTAATTAACACCGATACTCAAGTAATTGTAGATTGGGCAAATTCACACGGCCTTTTAATAAATCCGATCAAAACGCAGGCAATTATTATTGGAAGTCCCCAACAACTGTCGAAAGTAGATTGGAACAATCTACCTCTTATAAGCATACATGGTACCAAGATTCCTTATAGTAAGTCGGTTAAGAATCTTGGGATCTATATTGATGCCACTCTGTCATGGAATGATCAGATTAACAAAGTTAGTAGAAAAGTATACGGCGTTGCAAATATGCTGCGCCGTCTACAAAACTTTTTGCCAATTCCTACAAAAATATTGCTTGCGGAGTCATTGTTGTTATCCTTACTCGACTATGCCGATGTTTGTTATTTAGATCTAACTGAGGAACAAGTAAATAAGTTGGAGAGGCTTCAAAATTTTGCAATTAGATTTATTTATGGTCTCCGGAAATACGACCACGTGTCAGAATTCCGTGCTAAACTTAATTGGTTGCCTATTAGACTACGACGAAACACTCACATCCTCTGTCTTCTTTTCTCTATTCTCTTCGATCCTCGCACTCCTACCTATCTTAAACAAAGGTTTATATTTATGGGTTCTTCCCATGAACTTGACCTTCGTTCCTCATACAACCGTCTCCTTTCTATGCCTGCCCATTCATCTAAATGCTATGACTCTTCTTTTTCTGTTCAGGCTGTTCGCCTATGGAATAAGCTCCCACCCGCGATTAGGCTCTCACAAAGTCTTGACTCCTTCAAGACCAAAATCAAACAACATTTTCTTGAAAGTATTGTCCAGTCTTGATGTTATTGGCTTATACTTTTATTATTTATAAAGTTGCATCTTTGTAAAATCAAAATTAAATCTTAAGTTTTTAATATTTAGTGTGTTAACGTTTTTTGTTGTGTTAGTTCTGATATCAATGTATTTTACAATTTATTGCATATTCTCTCTCATTCTCGTTGACTTTTACTCATTTATTGTTATTTTGTTTTCCTTTTCTTTATACAAAGGTTGCCTGGAAGAAATCGCCATAGGCGATAAGGCCGCCTTTGCACTAACTTTTTTATGTAAATAATTATTTTAGTTTTACTATATCTGTATATTATTTGTTTGTGCAATAAAGTGTTTTATTATTATTATTATTACATTAGTTAAACTTGTTTGAAAATGTTTTTTAACTAATATATCGCGTTTTAAACCGTTAAAGTGTTTTACTTAAACGTAAAAATAGTTCATTTTTTTTTTTATTAAAAAATGTTTTGTATAGAAGTAATAGATAAAATTAAAACGACAATACCAACCTAGTCGAATGTTTGTACGTCTTCCATAGAGCGTGTAAATCGTGCTGAGTCTTCTTGATCCGTAGCAGCAAGCGAAACATATCATTGTACCTCGCTAACACCTCCGGAGCGAATAGTAGATGTAGGGGCCATTTAAAGTCGTACTTCAATATAATAGATGACCAGCCATCTGCTTCTGCAAAAGAAAATTAGATATCAAGTAGGAAACAAAACATATATTTTAATAATCGCTGTGTCAGCGACTTAGCGAATAGTTATTTTGGACATTCAAATTTGTTTTTGCAAACCTACTCTTCATCTGTATAGATTTAAGCTGTTACCCACATCGTCGGCCTTGCAAGTTAATCTTAAAGGACAAACATATAGTATCGCGGACTATTTTAGATTCTATAAGGAGGAATTATTCTTCCATTCATATTTTTTGGGTATCTTGAACCGAAATTCCGCTGTTCTTCGCTGTTATTAGTCCATCGCGATGTCTATGTAGTTTGACAAAAACCTTACCAATCTTGCATTTATAAAAAAAGCTATTCACTTTAGTGTATTTATCACGCTCTATTTTAAACGACACTAAAGCCAGGACTTTTCTTATGTAAGAAATAATTAATTTACTCTACCTTTCAGTACTACAAACTTACAGAATTAGTTAAAAAAATAAGCGGCACTTGTTAAACAATAATAAGCCTCCATACCTGAACAGCTATCGTCTTCGAGTGAAGAGTTTCCTGAAACATTCGGCTTGACATATGGCAGCTCGAAGCTGAACTTTTCTATATCAGCACTGCTGCTCAGGAAGACCGCTCTTGCTGCTAGTTGAAACGCTTGGTTCATGTCTGATGAGTAAACATGTTAGTTATATAAGGACTGTAATATTATTTTTTTAATGAACCGTTTTCGCAGCATATGCATCTGAAACCTACAGAGATGAAAAATTTCCCTCGTTTTGGTCACATTTCTCGCTGTATCTTCGCTCCTATTAGTCACATCGCAATGTGTACGCACCTTCCTCGATAAATGCTCTTACCAACACAAAAAGAATTGTTCAATACGAACCTGTAGTTCCTGAGATTAGCGCGTTCAAACAAGATTCATTATGTGACTAGGCCTGTAGCTAAATGATAAACGGTGTTGCTTTAAACGCGAGAGGTCCTAGGTTCGAATCCCGGGGAAGCAATAGATAGGTTTGGTCGGGCAGGGCACAGATGTCTGGTCAACCGCTGGGCTGTTAATAAAACAGACAGTGAAACAGATTCTGTAGAGGTGGGAAAAAATTCATAATATCTGTAGTTTGCGCGTTAAATAAAATACTTTTAACGGTTTAAAATTCGAAATATATTAGCTAAACTTATTTTAACTACGGCCCGATAGGGCGCTTTGTAGCAGCCGCGATTACGTTTAAAACCGTTAAAGTGTTTTATTCAAAGGAGAATTTCACTTTGATGTGTTAGATAAATACTCATTATAACAAAAAATTTACTCAAGTAAAAAGTGCCCCATTTCCTCTGAGGGCATTCCATGGTACAAGAGGAAAACATGGTATGTATTTTATGACTGTTTTAATGAACGATATCGATTTCATTTACAGACAAAAAGTTGATTACTACACCCTGCAGGACTAAAATCATCATGCTTCCCCTAGCTTTAAGCTAACACTTCTCGCGGCTACCCAATTTCCATCTTGATGACATATGCACTTTGGAAGGTTAAAAGATTTTACAAACCTCTGGTAGATGTCCTTGTCGTGGGTTTATCTAGAATGTGCGACGTTAGCCGTAGTAATTCTAAGAAGAGTTCACCCCGACCCAGCAAATAAAAGTCCTTCATGAGGCGGAGCTCGTGAAGCAGCCGAGCCTCTTCAACTGCCACCGTCCAGAGATGCTGCCAATTAAACATCTATTATATTGATGAGCTTCGATGACTGCTGGTTGCTGCTCTAACCAATTGAACTACCGTATCTCACTCATCATCAATTTTTTTAAACTTGTAGTAGTATGAATTAACTCATCATATATTTTGCGTTTTAAACTGTTAAAAAAATAAAATATTGTGTTATTTCTGATCATCATACCTTAGTGACACACTCTTTGATGTCTCTTATAACATTCTTTAAATGACAAACTTCAAATTCTTCGGGATTCTTAAGTTTCTGAAGTTTTTCGTGAAATTCGGCTTCCTTTTCTTCCCAAATTGTGAACCTGAAATCCAGAAATATAGCATTATAATTTATTTTATACATTGAGGCACTTTATTTTATTTACATTTTTTGCACAAAATATCACTATAAACTTATATACTAACATATGGAGTGCAATGGGCGGCCTTATCGCTAACGAGCGATCTCTTCCAGGCAACCCAAGATGAAGGAGAAAATTTTTGGGGGGGGGGGGGTTGGGGGGGGGGGGCGGCCCATTTTTTTTTTTTTAATTTTTAATATCTCAATCATAAAAATTCAACTCTTATGACTTCATATCTTATTTGAAATATTGTTTTATTTAAAAAAATCTTTAAACTTACAAAGTGTAATTTAATAAATTTTGAAGTACCTTCTAGATTCAATATTTATTTTCTGTAGCGGCAACATAGCTCTATTTGCTGAGAAGCTATTATTTTTCTTGACTTTTTTGGGGTCAAATCCAAACAAAATTATGGTTTTTCCAACAAATAAAATCTCCTGTGCCAATGATAATGGAATGAAGTATGGTATCATTGTTGCATTCAAATTATATCCACAATCTAACGGTGTTTGCTGAAGCTGAAATTGTAAGATGGGAAAGTTAGAAAGGAAGTCTGGTCCTCATGATTAAAAGCTATCAAGCCTAATTGTAATGGAGTTATAATATTGGTAAACCTCTCAATTGTCTTATTTGACCATATGTGTTAATGTAAATAAGACAACGCTTTACTAGTGTAATAATCATATTTATACTAATAATTGATAATAATGTGTAAGATATGGTAAGTCTCCTCGTGACCACGGCTGCTGCAAAGCATCCGAAACGTCGGGCCGAAGTTAAAAATCATTTTCAAATAATAACTAATATATCGCGTTTTAAACTGTTAAAGTGTTTTATTTAAATGTGTACTATTCGCGTAAACTAGACAGTATTTAAGATATGGTAACTCAGAATACTTAGATTGTGAGCTTGAGTCCCAATTTGATACCTTTTAAACAAAATTCTGTAACAATATATCTTCTATTTAGACAAGACACTGTATGTACTAAATGGTTGTTGAAAATTTTGAACATTGTGAACGGTCAAGATAGCAGGGAAATGCTGGATTCAACTAGTGAACCACCGGTTGTACTGGAAGTCTATAGGGGAGGCCTATGTCCAGCAGTGGACACGAAACGGCTGAATCGAATCGATCAAACATCTTGCCTTATCTATTTAAATATAATTTAGGTACTTACTGTAGAAACTAAGGATTTGTCATTAGTAGTAGTGGTTGATGGACACGATGCAAATGTATCAGATGAATCATTCTTTTTAACAGTATATATAAAGAATTCTTCATAAGGATCCCTTAGTTCTCCGTAAAGCAACCAAGTGCACAATTGGTTAATAAATACAGCATTTATGTTAGAAAATATTCTGTGGAATAGAGAAAAGTAGTGAGTTAGGCACTGAGTATTGCCTATAGAACATTGATTATTAAAATTTTCTCTTAAAATACTCTGAAGACTTTTCCAACTTACTTTACAATAGCATCATGAACCATTTCATTGCCACTCAATATATACTGATGAAGGAGGCCTAATATCTGGCAACCCATTAATCTTCTTTCTTTAAGAGTAGCTATTATTCTATTTAATGTATTAAACAGACCCTGATACTTCTCAACATAGCTATACACAAATGCCAAAGTGTAATTCTTGTTTGCAATGACTAGATGTTCTACATCCATTAGAGTTTTTTTATATGATTGCAAAATTTCTGATATGCCTTCACTGACTGCTTGTCCATATAAACCAAATGTTCTGTGTCCAGATGCTAGGGAAGAGTAATATTATTGTTATGAAATAATATAACGAAAATGTTATATTGCACGACTTTATAAAAACTTTAGTGTAAGACGAACCTGCATGTAATTGTCGAGACACAAAACCAGTTCCAATAATAAAGTTTTGAATTTTGTGGTGACTTTTTGCGATTCCGTAAATGCGCTTGTATATTGCAGCATCGCCATCATTTCCGTAAGTAGTCGGCTCTTGCTACATAAAATTTGTTTGTAAATAAAAACAAAATTGGTTGAAGTGTATATTAATTTCCGTTTAGCTTAAGTTTTATACTTACTTGAATGCCTTCCGATGTTTGAGAACAATCCCAAAGCATTAACAGGGCATCGTGAATCATGTCTATTCAATTATATATATTTTAATAATTGTTTTAACTTTTAAGCAATAATATATAATAAAGTTATTTATTTTAGCGATAATTTTATTCAAAATTATATTGTTGACAGTTATTCGTTCACCACAGATATATAATACGGCCGATGTAACTTGGCAGCTCTAAACAGAGGTTAGACTAACTTGTGGCGCATGTACACTCGTAAAGAAAACTAATACTGCCATTCATTTTCGTTACGGGAGTAAATGAAAAGTTTTACCCCCCAAATCAAAAAAACCAACCTTATCTTTCACTAAAATACAGAGGCAACAAAAATAAGCAAAAGAAAAATAATAATATTAAATTTAGCAATAAACAATAACTTTCTCTAACGCACTGCGCTCATGACAGAGATAACGAAATTAACGCCAAGGAGTGACCGAGACATACTACTGTTTACCGAATATGTACGAAACTTTATGAAATAACCAAATAAACATGCCCATACGCGATCCTTGTGAAGTGTCGTTTAATATTCCTATTGAAATAGATAAAATTGGATCGTAAAAATATAATTTTATAAAAAGCCCTAAAGAAGGTATAAATAGTAATTGTATAAGTAATAACTCATATTTAACTAAATCAAGTAGTGCAATAATAAAAAAAGTTTTTATATAATTTTATTTTCCTTTAAAGGTAATCATGGTATAGTTTATTAACAACATCATTCACTGTGTTCATCAATCCATTAAGTACAATATCTCATACGATTGAAAATCCGCAATCTAAATCGATAAAAATCGAT